CGAAAAAACAAGATGGTGCTGAAAACAAAACAGATCTGAAGATCAATGGAACAGACTTCAAGATGCAGAAAGAACCCCAAACACCACCTCAGCCACCTCATCTTCGACAACAGGACCAAACATGTTCACTGGAAGAAAGCCTCTTTAGTAAGTGATGCTGGAAAAACTGGCTTTCTACATGCTGAAGACTAAAACTTGACCCATGTCTTTCACCATGCACTAAACTAAAATTAAAATGGATCAAAGATCTAAATATCAGAACAGAAACACTAAATCTGCTGGAAGAGAGAATAGGTAGAACATTTGAAGACACAGGAGTAGGCAAAGAATTCATGAACAACCCAGACCACCTGGGAAATACTACAAAGAATCAACAACTGGGACCCCATCTTATTAAAAATCTTTTGCACAGCAAAAGAAACCACCAACAGATGAAAGACAACCCAGAGTGGGAAAAAATTTTAGCCAGCAGTTCCTCAGAAACAGGAGTAATATCTAGAACATATAAAGAATTGAAAAAAAATCAATCCACTCATATTTAAAGACCAAATTCAAAAATGGCCATCTGAGATGAATACACACTTCTCAGATGAAGAAGTAGAAACAGCAAATAAATACATAAAACAATATTCAACATCACTGGTCATTTGAGAGATGTGAATTAAAACAACACTGAGATTCCTTCCCACTCCAGAAAGAATGGCTGCTATCATGAAATCAACCAATAACAAATGCTGGCGGGGCTGTGGGGAAAAGGAACCCTTCTCCACTGTTGGTGGGAGTGCAGACTGGTGCAACCACAATCAGTGTGCAATCAGTGTGAAGATTCCTTAAAAAACTAGGATTAAACATCCCATTTGACTCAGCTTTTCCTTTTCTGGGTTTCTTCCCAAAAGAATTAAAATCATCAGACCACAGCAATAAATGAGCACCCATGTTTATAGCATCGCAGTTTGCAATAGCTAAATCTTGGAAACAATCCAAATGCCCATCAACTGATGAATGGATAAAAAAAGATGAGGTCATTTTGTGTAATGGAGTAGCAGTCTGACATAAATAAGGGTACACTTAAGACATTTCTAGGTAAATGGATGCACCTTGAGAACATACTCTTAAGTGAAATAAATTGAACACATGTGTAAATATAACATTGTGAGAGCCGGGGATTTAGCTCAGTGGTTTCACTGCCTGCTGCGCAAGCGCAAGGACCCGAGTTCGATCCCCGGTACCAAAAAAACAACAAACAAATATTGTATCTCTGGTGTGAGAAGCTGAAAGTGTAAATAAGGACCAAAAAGAATAATAGATATGAAGTAGGAAGAAATTTTTCAAAATTGTATCGTGTGAGATACTTTGTTAATAATTAAAATGTTTTATACAAAAAAAAGAAGGTATAGTATTAGGAAATGAGATGAGAGATTAGCAAATGAAAATATCTTTTAAGATGATGATACAGTATATTTACCATTGTTATTCTCTAATAATTTTTGTTATGAAAAATTATTTTTCATAGAACTGCTTTTATATTTTCTTTATTAATACCTACTTCTATTACATTAAATTTTAAAAATAGAAGAAGAAAATGTGGTAAGGTGCTATTCTAGGATAAACATGAGTAATGTGTAGGAAAATGGATGAATCATGAGACCATAAGTCTCAGTACAATAAATCAGACACACAGGCTTAAGTATTACATAGTTTCTTTTATGGGAGAAACCCAAAGCATAAATAAAATGCAGTGTAAAAGATAGGTAATTGGAAATGGGAAAATAAATATTTGCAAAAAGGGAGGGGACCAAGAGATAGAGGGGAGTAAGGAGTATATGAATACCACCGCCCCACAATGAATGTAATTATTATGTAAGCAAACACATACAAAAAATTAAAAATACTCTTCAATGCATATAAATTTTGTTATTTAATTTTTCCTAAAAACATGTGCTACCATTTATTTTTCTGAAATACGCATTCTTATATGAGGACATCTGGATAAACTGCTAAATCTCTTCTCACCTTTCTCTGATTATATTTATATTTTATGTTTTGAAATGCTTATTTAACTGAATTATTTGGGTTCCAGTTAATACACATTCCAAATATGTTCCTAAAAGTAATGTTCCTTAATTATAAGAGGATCTTTTGTGACCTAGAACTTTACTCTATTCCATTCTCATTTGTTATCTAGTTACAATCTGTCCGACCTGGTGATTCTGACACTCTGCCTCATCTCTTCCCTGAACCATATGGTTTCCTTCTGCCAGTGGCCACAGGGTCCCCTGAGATGTGACGCTGTTTTCTAGTACAATTATGGCCCACTTTACATGCTTGGGGCTCCATGACTAGTGCTGATTTTCAGGATGGGAAAAAGTACAGGTTTGCTAAAACTAAGGATCAGCAGTGAATTAGCTGACAGAACTTCAGTTCCTTAATGAGCCAGGCAGAAAGAAGCCCCTGGACAGTCTTTGCTTCTCTAACACAAATAGGGGCATTAAAAGAACCTCAAGAATGTGGAGGGCTCAGCCCCACCCCTGGTGATTTCTGCCACTCCATGGGAACAAAACCACCTACCAGCCTGGCACAAACCCTTCTTTTGGAGGAGCAGATGAAACACATAAGACTTTGCCAGGAGCTGTCACTTTCTAATATAATTCTTTCATAAATGCTGCCTGTCTCCAACCTCTCCTTGTACTCAGAAGGAAAGCAGACCTCTTATGATCTTCCTCTGGGAAACTGGTATACAGATTATTATCATACCTGATTCTCTTCTTTAAGACCATGACTCTCCTCCAGCTGTCAGGCATGTTCATCGCTGATAGATTACAACTGATATGCTCTCTGCACACTCCTCTACAAGTGAAAGATTTGAGTTGTCCATAACCACACTCTACCTTGGAAGGCACACATGAAAAATATAGTTGTTGAACACATACAACAGATACCTTGCCAAAATTTGCAAAGTATCTGAAGGACCAGCCCTGCCCCATCCCGGTTCTATAAATCTGCATGGAGTCAGCTGAGATCTTTATTGTGACTCCATTACAGTTCAATTTTTACCCTCCTTGACATCCTCTTGCCTCCCTTCTTCATAGCTCATTGCACATAAAACCCCTGCAGGAAAATCTTCAACTCAGAGACTGTTTTCTAAGGCGCTCAACACAGGATACTTACATTTAATGTAAATAGCTGTTGACTTGGCAGATGTATACTTTCTCATTCATATCAAGAAAGAGAATCAAAAGTAATTTATAATCATAGAATGGATAAAGGGTACTTTAAAGGTTTTGTTCCAGGGCACACTGATTTCCACCTCAATTATCTTAAGAAGTCTAAACATTCTGGGGCTGGGGATTTAGCTCAGTGGTTCCAATGCCTGACTCACAAGTGCAAGGACCTGAGCTTGATCCCTGGTACCAAAAAAACCCAAAACATTCTGGACATTCCATTGATGATATCATATTAAGCAAATCATATAGGCAAGAGGTGATAAGTTCCACAAATGATTTAGATAAGAGACAAGCACTGAAGTTTCAGGAGCCCATCATTTCAGTGAGGTTCCAAGGGGTCTTTTGGTGTGTGAAAAGACAAAACAAAACATTCCTCTCATAGGAAGTGAAATTATTGCACCTCACAATGCCCACCCTCAAGAGAGAAACACACTTAATTGGCCTCTTCAGCTTCTGGAAATCCATAGTCTACAATTGTGAATATTGCTCCACCAGATTACCAGGTGACACAGAGGCTATTAAGTTTAAGAGACCCAGAGAAGACAAATGCTCTGAAGCTATGATGTACACAGTTCTGCTTTGGAACCATATGATCAAGCAAACACACATGCATACACACACGTACATGTAAAATATCATCAGGCCTTCACAGAAAATCAATGTAGTCTTCTAATATTCTAAAGAAACAAAAAATGAGGTATGATTGAAAAATATAGTCAATGTTTAAATTTTTTATTACATTAAATGACATGCTGCCAATAATCTCCCTCAAAATATTCTTTTGCTACGAATATACTTATCCTATCATCCTTACCACTTTCTGAAGTAGTTCTGGAAGTTCTCTGTTGTGTTTTTAGTTATTCTGTTATGGCTTCTCAATGTCCTGAATAAATTAAAACCTTCAACTTTTATGGTCATTTTGACCAGAAATCACATGGTGCCAGATCTAGTGAAGAGGTGGATTGAGGACACAATGTTTTCATGGGGCTGCATTTCTGCAGCAATCACCATATATTTTATCATATTTTGATTTGTAAACAGTCATAGAAGATTTTCAGAAATGGCAAGAATGATAGAATAAATGTGTTTGAAGCAAGGACACATATTTTGAGGGGGATAAAGTGTGTCTTTAACTGCATTAAGTTTTTAAATATTCACCATGTATTTCAATAACACCCCATAAACATGATTCAGAAATAAATTCTGAAATGCTACAGGGCCTGGTAAAATGAACATCTACTCATGTCACAGTGATCTGACTAAGTGGCTCATTAATGGATGAGTTTCCAAGAAACCTAAATTTACAGATCAAAAGAATTCAAGGTCTGGCTCCTCTACTCAAGATACCTGATGTTTATGAAAGTGGTCATTTACTCAGGTCTCCACTGCCCAAAATATCTCCATTCAGTTTCCTCCTGAAGAATTACAGGCACTAAATTTGATGTACTGAGAAAATTAAAACCTCCAGATCTAAGGAAAAGGGGTTATAAATAGGAAAACACCTACAGGAATGCATCATTCCATCAGTGACATTTTCACTGTTGACACTAGAGGGAGCTGTGGGCTAAGCCCCTAGAGAGCAAGCAACAACTCTGAAAAGTTTTGCAGATGTAGGTTCCATTATCACTAATTCCCTGTGGTTTTATCTCAGTGGGTGTGACCTGGCCAAGCTGCTGAACTCCTTGGGAGGGCAATCTCATTTGCATGAAAACCCTGCCTCCCACCAGGGTATTAAGAGTTATAATGAGAGCTGAAGGGCTGTTTGTGTGATAAGCAGTCTGGAAAAGCACAATCTGCACCATGGCCTGGGCTCCTCTCCTGCTCACACTTGTGGCTCACATCACAGGTCAGGAGGGACTTTCTGGCTGGGGGTGTGGAAGGCAGCAGTGTTGCCTCTATCTCCTCTGCTGACCATCAGTTCTCTCTTATTTTCAGGGGCTGCATCACAGGCTGTGGTGACTCAGGAATCTTCCCTGTCCACAACTCCTGGAGGGACGGTCACACTCACCTGTGGCTCCAGTACTGGAGCTGTCACAACCAGTAACTATGCTGCTTGGGTACAACAGAAGCCCTACCAAGCATCCCAGGGTCTAATAGGTGACACTAGCAACCGGGTGCCTGGGATCCCTGCCCGATTCTCAGGCTCCCTGCTTGGAAACAAGGCTGCCCTCACCATCACAGGAGCCCAGCCTGAAGATGAGGCCAGCTATTACTGTGCCCTGTGGTACAGCAGCCATTTCCACAGTGACACAGGCATATGGGGAAGTGAGACAAGAACACCCTTGTTCAGACTCATCCTCTGCTTCTCAGCACCTCCTTGCATACAAATACAAGACAAGGAATTATGTCTAGAATCTGAGAGAGATGTGAATCTTTGGGGACTAGAGAAGGGACCATGGTAGGCAACCACTGCAACAAGTCCCAGTGAACTTCACCTTCATTCACCCTTTTATCCCCCTCTGTAATCCCTTCCTGAGTGTGGACTGTACTGAGTGACTAATACAGAGATTCTGAGGACTCAGAAATTAGTTTAGTAAAAGATCTGACTTAAGAGATGGCAGTAGCTCTATTTGTTCTGTACTTGCACCAATTGATAAGAGAAGCTTCCTCTGGCCTGAGACCTTCCAGATTCAGTTGCACAGGCCACCACCCTGAGGGGGAAGAGAGAAATCCCAGGGGAGACTGGAGAAGGGTTTCTGTGTCTAAGACATGTCACTCAGCAACACATCCAGAAATCTCTGGGTCACATAGCTAGGAAAAGCAGCAGCCATTTGGAGTTACATAGTCCCAGGATTTTTCTTATGTATGACTAGTAAAAGTTAAGTGCACTTTCACTATGTAAGCAAAGCAGTAAGGCTCTAAATGGCTAAAATTGTGCTTTTAGTCTTCCTTTAAAGCAACTGATGTGTAAAAATTGATTTTGACTCTGGCAGGCTTGAGTTAATGGTTCCAGCCTACTGTGAAGAAGAAAACAACATAGTGGCCAATATACAGAATTAATTTTTAACCCTTTTCTATAAATGATTTCTAACAATAAACTACGAAAGTGATGGGATGCCATTCCTGAGGTTAGGTTATTAGGTTATAAAGATTATGGCTTATCTTTGCTGATTTCTTTTGGACTGTCTGTCCAACCCTGTGGAATAGGACATACAATGCTTAAGGAAGCTAATGCTGCCAGAAACCATTGGGAATGAGATTGGAAGTGGAGCCTACCACTCTAGCCAAGCCTTCAGATAAATGCAGGCCCTGATGACATTTTTGCCTCCAACTAAATCAAGTATCTTGAGCCAGAGCCACTCAGCCTTATGCAATTTCTTGATGCATAACTCAGGGCAACTAAGATACTCCATGTTTTAAATTACTAAATTTGGGACCTTTGCTTACACAGTATAGCCAGCGACATTGGCTAGCGCTTGCTCTACTCTCTCTTAATGGGAAAGCAGCGGACTATAAGAGACTGAACTGTATCTGCCTGTATTTCCAAACAGACTCATGTTTAACTTTTGCTCAAACAAAAAAGGCAGGAAATTTTTATTAATCCTTTTTTTAAAAAAACCTTAATATAAAATTATAGCAAAAAAGGGAACCTGAACTTTATAGCAACACAGCTGGAACAATCCGCAGTGGCAGCAACAGTGGGAGAAGAGATTTAATTTAGTTGATTTTCTGTGGCTGTTGTTTGTTCACTAGTATCACGGTGATGGAAGCTGCACATTTTTTTGAAGGGACCGAGAGGCTGCTGGAGATTTGGTTCTCCTGTCAGCAACCTGACGCCAACCAGGGATCTGGGGATCTTTGCACTAACCCAAGATCTGAGTGGGATGTACTTTTGAAGGATGTGCAATGTTCAATCATAAGTGTGACAAAAACTGACAAGCAGGAAGCTTATGTTCTTAGTGAGAATAGCATGTTTGTCTCCAAGAGATGTTTCATTTTGAAGGCAGTGGTTCCACTCTCTTACTGAAAGCACTGATCCCCCTGTTGAAGCTTGCTAGGGATTACAGTGGGTTTGACTTGATTCAAAGCTTCTTTCATTCTCCTAAGAATTTCATGAAGCCTTCTCACCAAGGGTACTCACACCAGAATTTCCAGGAAAAAACGGAGTTTCTTAATGCAATTTTCCCAAATGGAGCAGCATATTGTATGGGACGTAGGAACTCTGACTGTTGGTACTTATATACTCTGGATTTCCCAGAGACATGAGTAATCAGTCAGCCAGATCAGACCCTGGAAATTCTGATGAGTGAGCCTGACCCAGGAGTTATGGACCAGTTCTACATGAAAGATGGTGTTACTGCAAAGGATGTCACTCCTGAGAATGGAGTTCGTGACCTGATACCAGCTTCTGACATTGGTGCCACACTGTTCAATCCTTGTGGATTGAAATGAATGGAATGAAATCGGATGGAACTTATTGGACTATTAACATCACTCCAGAAGCAGAGTTTTCTTATGTCAGCTTTGAAACAAACTTAAGTCAGACCTCCTATGATGACCTGATCAGGAAAGTTGTGGAAGTCTTCAAGCCAGGAAAATTTGTGACCACCTTGCTAGTTAGAGTTCTAAGTCGTACAGTGCTTTCTTCACCCCAGAAGATTGAAAGTTTTAAACATTTTGATTGCCAGAGTGCTATGTTCAGTGATTACAATTTTGTTTTCACCAGTTTTTCTAAGAAGCAGCAACAACAGCAGAGTTGATTAAGAAAAATGAAGAAAAAATGTAAAAGGAGAACACACATAGAAGGTGATGGCTGCTTTCTAGATGTTGTTACCAGGGGCTATGGTTTCCATTACTACCACCTTATAGTTGCAGAAAGCCCAGATATAATGATAGTGTAATCATTTTGAAGTGTATGCATTATTCTATCAAGAAATTAGACATCTTGCATGAATGATGTCTTCTGTGTTTAGGTATTCTATGCCACCCTTGCTGTGAAATTGAAGTGCATGTAGAAAAAAACTTTAACTGTATGAAATTTTACAACACTTGTGAAAATAATTTAATTTGGTTCACGCACAGTGTAATATTTCTGCAGGTATTGTTCAAGATTCCCCCCAGACAAGGTTTTTGTCCTCATTAGGTTTTGGCCTCAGCCTAATAATCTGGGACTCTTCTATTACATCGCTGCCAGAATTTTACATCCAGTTGCTTCCACTTTCTAGAACATATTCTCTAGTAATATTATTGAAACAAATTTCTATTTGTTTTTGCAACAGCAATTAAAGTTTTTCTTCCATGAGTCAAGTCCTCCTAAGAAAATGATTCCAGTTACTCATTTTGTATATTACTGTTTTAATAATTGCTCCTGCATTTATAGTCCTTGATTTCTTCCCTCACCATGGTGTCTTTACCTCACCTCCAGGCCCCCAAATAAAAGCAATACACTGTTTAAAAATAAATAAATAAATAAATAAATTTGGGGATCATTTGTCCCAGAGAAATGGACTACAGATGATTGAGGTCTACAAAGTTAGTTTAGTCTTGGGTGGGAGACTGAGACACTTCCTGTGCTTATGGGGCATCTTCACAGAGATACACTGGGATCCTGGCTAGGGTGTGTCAAAGGAGTGGTTCAGGATCATGTTCACACCTCCCATGCATAAGGTGAAGTTTTTCTGGCCTTTTCATCTCAAAAAAATAAAAAGTATTCATCTTTTTTACACAGAGCAATGGTTTTAAGCAAAAGATCATCCTATAGTGTGGCTTGCAGCTTTTATAAAAACAGAAAAAAATGGGGAGATCAGTGAATGCTTCTGAGCTCCTTAGTTGCCAGCCTATAAAAGAGTCCCCTTGATGGGGCACAGAATATTAAGTAAAAACAGATAAAGACATGAGCCAAAATAAATATCTACTCCTTTAAAAAGAGAGAGAGAGAGATGGAATTAGCATGACACATCCACAGGTTCCACATTTGTAGATTCAACTACTGTGGATGAAAGATATTTTCAAATACTTTTTACTTTTTTCTTCATATTAAGTAAATTATGTTATTTTAACTTAATGGATTTATAATGCAACTACTTAGAAAACTGGTTATGACAACTATATAGCAACTTTGGAATATAAAACTATATATATTATTAAAACTAAATCTTAAAACATAAAATGCTAAATGTAGTTTCTTAGGTTAATTTTTTAGCCTTTTTATTTTATTTTTATTTTTTTACTACCAGGGATTGAACTTGGCACTTTGTGCTTGTGAGGTAGGCACCAGAACCATGGAGCTAACTCCCTGGCTTTAGCCTTTTTAAAATGATATATTTTTTATATATATATATTTAAAATGATATATTATTTACATGGCAAAAACGATTTCCATAGTTACAAATTTATCAGTAAATTTCCCTTCTGTGTATCTTTCCAAAAGAGTTAATATCACAGTGATACATGCTTACTCATGTTTGTAGCAGCACAGTTCACAATAGCTAAATATTAGAAATGGCTTTTAAATCCATCAGTGGATGAATAGATGAAAATGTGGCATTTATTACAATGGGGTACTAATCCACCATAAAGAAGGATAAACTTGAGCCATTTGTTGGAAAATAGAAGAACCTTGAAAACACAGTATTATATTAAATAAATCAGACATGAAAGCTGAACAATCACATGGTTTCTCTCATATGAGAACCCAAAATACAAAGAATAAAATACTCTCAGCTCTATTCCCAATGCCCAACCATACAGTTTCCTGCCTCCATATATAACCTTTGTTTTTTTAGGCCCAGATTTATATGGACTTGTTTTCTATTTTCTTCATGCTTCCATTTTTTCCTCTCTTCCTTTTCCCTAACTCTCATTGCTATGTTCCTTCATTTTTACTTTCTGCTCCTGCTGAATTAAATAATAAATCTATAAGTTAATTCCTTAATTCCTACATCTCTTTACCATTCTCATTCATTTTGTCAATTCATTCAGTTTAAATACTTATTCAAGACCCACTATGAGTTAAGTGACATTCTAGGTACTGAGAATGAGACAAACACTGACAAATACCTTATGAAGAGTATATTCTATTGGACTTCTGTCTATGAGGCTGGAACTGGATTTGTGGAGCCTGCAATAGTCTATGTGCCTCCTGCCGACTTGAACTCAGCTCCCTAACCTCCTGCCAACTTGAACTCGGCACCCTCACTGCCACATGAGGAGCCACTAGATAGAGTCAGCCTGTAGCTGTTCTGAGTTCCAAGTTCAGGTGGTCCCTCTCCAAACTGGCTACCAGCCAACTGGCCCCTCCTGGGTGATGTCTGAACCCAAATAACTCACCAGCCACTGCAGTCTGCTATATCTACTGCTCTGCTCCACTGGTGCATTTCTCCATGGAGGCCTCTGGGGTCACCAGTAGTCATTGTGCATCTGCAGGTTCAACTCTCCCTTCCTACACTGTGAGTCCAAACTC